TTACAGCCGTCACAAAGAGGAGAAAGAAGGATTGCCTTTCTCTATTGCTCTACTTGTTTTCTGACCCTGTTTTAGCATCTTTCCTCTAAGTAAGACCTAGATTGGGTAGACCATGTATTGCAGTTTCTGTCTCTATGTTATGGCTTCATTTTTCAAAGCCACAACCCTATCCACTCCTGTGTTTCTTGACTTGCCACTTGCTGTCACTTCTCCAGGACAGCGGCTGCGCCAAGGGATGCCTGTCCGTCGTTGGCATCTGGAGGCACTGCCTCATACACAGCTAACGGGAAGCTCTCCCAACACCTTCTGGAGGTGAAGGTACCCACCTAGCTCTCTTATTCACAACAATACTTCCTCCTCTGGCCCTTAAAGATTGGGAAAAGCACAATGGCAGTGGTGTAGCTGGGAACAGGAACTGGTCTGGCGATGCTGTGGGGTTTGTTAAGATACGATCACAGTGCTGTCACCAGAGTATTGCAAAATGCTGAACTATCTCATAGTCTGGTGTGAAAATTTAGCTTAGGTGTTTTAACAGTGACTTTAAGTCTGACCTAGAGTGCCTGTGTGACTGACTCTGTATACCAACTAAGGTATCTCCTCCAGTTGGAGGGAGGTTGAACATGTCCTACACGTCTGAGTTCAAGCTGTTCCTGGTGCACATGAGCAGAAATCTCCTCTTACAGTTTCTGCTGCATGTGCTGTTCCTAGAACATTTACATGATTTACTTTTAGCTGGTTGTTCCCAATGGTTATTTTAATGGTAACGCTGCAGCTATATAATTTGCATAAGCTTTTCTAAGAGCAGCACCATAAAAGGTGAGATCAGCTGGAACAAACGGTCTAGAAAAGTGCTGGTTTAGGTATTTGGAGGTGGGTTTCCGTGGGTATCTGAGGGTGAAGGGACCAGAGAAAAGGCAGGAGAATGAGCTTGAGATTAGCTCCAGAGGAGCTACAAGGGCTGCGTTACAGGCCTGAGCATGACATGATGGCCCCTTTGGGCAACGGAGTTGGAGGTGCCTGAGAGAGGGGACAGAGCTGGACAGGTGGCTTCAGGTGGTCTCTGCTCCTGAAATTGCTCTGTGCAGTAAGAGTCTGGCACTGAAACAGCAATGCTGGGTGGAGAGACAGGAACCGGTCGGGCTGGGTGGGTGAAGGCTTGCATTTGGGAGGCTTGTGGGCAGGAGAGCTTGGAGCAGGAGGTACTAGCACCATCTCCAGGAGAAACCCATTGCTTTTGGCTACCAGGAGCAAAATATCTGCTACTGGGGGAAGGGGACAGCAACAAGGACTTGCTAGGGAAAGACAACCCGAACCAATCCCTGTGAAAATCTCCCTCACGCTGCCATCCTCTGGCAGGATGTTCCTCCTACGAGCGTGAAGACGGTGCCTAGAAACAAGCTGCAGGATCTTACTGCTGCATATTGGAGTGGTGGTGGTGGAGAAGGGACTTGGAGGTTGCTAAGAGTCTCCTTGTTTATTTGCTGAAGGTCCAACAGCTCCCTGGGTCAGAGACACACTCTCCTTGTTAACAAAAAGGCAATGAATTATTTAGCAGCTGACAATGCCAGATGGCGATGGCTCTGCTGCTTACAGGAGGAGGGGAGGGAGGGAGACATGCACATGGGGAGAACAGATTGAGAGCATCTCCATAGGAAAGGGCTGACCCCGGCCAGAGGTCCCAGTGGCCCAGGTGGTTCCCCAGCCGCCTGGCGGCAAGCAGGAGGCAGGCGGTCCAGGGCAAACAGCTGCTGCTTGCCAGAGTGGCCCACTCATTTCCTACGGGTCTCCCCTTGTTGGAGTTTCCTCTTCAGGGGTTGTTATCCTGATGGGACCATGCTGAGCCTCGAAGTACAGGACTCCCAACCCTGGCTGGGAGGCAGACCGTGACTGAGGACACTACAGGGAGGCTTTGCCAGCCCGTCCCTCACTTCATACCTGGCTGCAGGGATGGTACTTCAGCCCAAAGTCTACTGGGATGCCCTTTGGAGTGGTATCAGCATATCTCAGGTGACCTGGCAGTTCTTTTGTGAGTCACACTAAGGGTCAGCTGTCCCAGCTTGGGCTATGATGTCTCCGGACACCACAGGCTGGCCAGATCAATATATATATGGCTAGGGACACCTGAGGAGAACTGAAGATGCTGTAGGCAGCATGGACAGATCTGTAGCAGACACTGAAGCCCATGCCCCAGGTGACACTGCACCATATGCACAGGGACTGCCATGGGTCTGTGTGTCATGGGGATCTTCATGCCTGTAGTTCAGTGGCTTCTGACATCCCTTCAAGGCATCTATGCAGGTAACCAGATGCCAGCCTAACCCTGGAGTGGGGTCAGCCTCAGGCTCTGCTGGGCTCATAGCCTTGGTCCATGCATCCCAGCCACTCTTTGGCTTCAGTGGAGATTTCTCTTTAGGCTGGAATTTATGCTTCAGAAATGAAGAAAACAGCGAGTCACCATCTCTGTTTAATTTGGAAGCTGCAGGCACCAAGAAGAGTTCTTAAGTTCTTCAACCCTCTTGAGAGCTTGGGTTGAAAATCCCTTGGGAATCCCTGGTGTCCACCTGATTGCATTTGTCAGGCTGTCAGAGCCTTTTTTTTTTTTTTAATCAACTCTTGTGTTTGAAAACCTCCCTCTTCTTCAGTCTTTCTTTTCCCTGAACGAGGAGGTCAAAGAGAGTCAGTGTCTCAGACGTGTAACCTCTGTCAGCTCCTGTCCCAGCACCCCCATCCTACCCGGTCTGCTCAGCCGCGGGGTGGAGGGTGTCTGGGCTCCTCAGAAGCTTTAGGACAGGACTAATCTCAAGCAGGAAGCTGCATGGTCTGAGAGAGGCTGAGGCTACAGCAGTGCACGTACATAAAACCACATGCTACTGTAGTCTCCCATCTGTCACACTGGCAGAGCAGAAGTAAATGTTTCCCGACAAAAGCAAATCCATGTAGAGCTCAGGAAGATCCCCGTTCTAAGCCAAGGTATTTTGTCCATGTTCTCTCTGTGCTCCCCAAGGACCTCTCAATCAGGTTGCCTTTGGTGTTGAAGAAGAGTTGATCCTGTTTGGTCTTGATGGGAAAAACCGCCATAAACACTTTGCATCTCCAGGTTCCTGGAGGTGCTGGCTGTCTTTGTTTGCACCTTCCTCCATTACTTAATTGGACCATGGCTCCTGCTCCTCTTCCTCTGTCCTGCCCATGTGGGCTGTGAACATCCTGCAGCAGGGATCAGCTGTCACTGGGTGACTGCAGGCACTGCAGGAGGGTCCCAGTTGTGCCTGGAATGTACATAAAAAGGAGGAAGAGGAGTGAATGCCCAGTGGCTTGAATACAAAGCTCACAGGAGTACATGTTAATAAGCATGCTGAGGTTTCACATGGCCTTTGCACTGGCCACAATATACTGGTTACAATGTACTGTGCTCAGCATGTTTGCAAGGCAAGGCACTCATATAATTCGTTATAAACTTCAGGCAGGCCAGAAGGTGTTCTTGTCAGGAGCACAAGTCCCCAAGAATAGGGACGTAGAATAACTGCAGTTGGAAGGGCCCACTTGGAGGTCATCTGATAAAAGCCCTTGCTCTGGACCCGGCCAACTTTAAAATTATATTTCGTTGCTCAAGGCGTCCAAAGACAATGCTTCTTTGTCTATCTGTTCCCACACACACTGATAACCTCAATCTTCCCCTAAGCAGGGTCTTCAGCCCTCTAGGTTTATCTACCTAGAAAGTACTAGACATCCTAAGTCGGGGCCTTTCGGAAGAGATGTTAGGGACCCAACCTGGTTGCCATTTTGAAAATCCCTCAACAACCTATTAATGGACCATCGTGAGAGCACCCTGAATACCCCCCCACTGTCCCAGGGTGCCTGTCACCCTGGCGATGTGGTTGATCTCACTATGGTCATAGCTGTCCTCCTTTGAAGGCCACACAGCTCTCCAGGCACCAGGAGCAGCTGACTAAAGGTGCTGGGGGAGCTCCAAGGCACGGAGGCATGGCAGGTACACGAGGAGAAGAGACTCTGGCCCTGTTGTCCCCACCCTGTGTTTGTTAGTGTTTGCTGTGCTGGTTCCCTCTCCTCCTGTCCTTCTGGTGAGCGCAGCAGCCGTTCAGCACTGTCTTGGCATGCAGATCTGTGGCATCCCCATGAGTAACAGCCATGCTGGCTGCTGTAGGGTGCTTGTTCCCAGGGGTCCCAGGCACTGCAGGTTTGGAGAGGATCCTCTCCTACCTAAAGCACGTCAGTAGGAAAGGTTTTGGAAACAAGCCACAGTCTTGGCCATTAATGGCCTTTAAGTATTTCATACCAGTGAGGACTGTAGCCTGCGGTATCAGCTCCTGGGGAAGTGGAGGGAAGCCTGGCATTTAGGGTTTTGAGAAGCTGATTCTTCTGAAGACATCAAGATACCTTGTAAGGAGCAATTCTGCTCTGGTGGAAAGATGGAAGGGAGGTCCCATGACTCCTGAGTCACACAGGTCGTGATGCTGGAGAATGGAGGGCTTAGGGATGTTCCACATGCAGTAGATATCTGGCTGTGGGGAGCGAAGCCAGCGTAGCCCCAGCAGCCCAGTTGTTAACATCATCATTGCTCTTACTCTCAGAAATTCAAGCGAATGCTTTGGCCTCTTGTTCCTGCCTGCTGACCACACCAGGGTGGCCATGACTCAACCCAGCTTCCAGGACTGAGGGGCAGAGGTGGTGAGAGACCTGTCTCAGGTATGATGGAGACAACCAAATAGCATGGGGTTTAATGGGGTGGGGAGAGGGTATGAGGTAGCTGCGAGATCTCTTCAGCAACACCCCCCGCCCTGTGTCCCACAGCCCCTCCCTGGGAGAGACTGGGACTGGGGAAACTCCAAAGTCACCAGTCAGTCCTCTCCCCTCTCTGCCCTTAGTGAGCTCCTTGGACCTCGCTGGAGGACCTGAAAGAGCCACGGCCCTCTTTCAGGCAAAGGCTTCTCCATCCTCACCCCTGCCCCTGCGTTGCAGGCTGAGGCCCCACGACGGCACCGATGGAGAGCGTGTACTCGGTGGAGCCAGCACCTGATGGTGCCGGCCCCACCTCTCTGGACGTGCTCAGCTTCCTGGACGCCCTGGTGAACAGCACAGAGGAGCAATGCTTCAGTGCCCGCTCCCGCAGCACCGTCCTGGAAGGGCTGCCGTTCGGTGGCGTGCCCACCGTGCTCGCCATCAACTTCATCCTCTGGCTGGTGAGCGGGCCAGGAGGGTGCCATGCCTACGGGCACCGCAGCCCCCGGCTGTGCTGTCTGAGACCGGCTGTGAGCGTGGCGGCGCGGGGGGTGGGTGCGTGTGTTATGGGTGTGCTGACAGCCACACGTGAGTGCAGCCTGCGTGCTGGTGCACCCAGCTAATTTGGAGGAACGGGGGTGAGTGTGGGGACCAAGAGCTTTGCCCACATCGTGGTGGGCAAAGGGCAGCAGTGGCAAGATCACAGAGCAGGAGCAGTTTGGCTTGAGGCAAGAGTTTTGCACGAGCTTGGGCTCATGAGTGAGAAAACAGATGGGAGGCATGTGAGGAGACCCTACGGGGCAAGACCCTGCGGTAAACCCTTCACCTCTCCTCTTCCCTCTTCTTCCAGCTTCTCCTCCTGGTCTTCTCCTGCCTTCGGAAAGCAGCTTGGGACTATGGGCGCCTGGCGCTGCTGATGGACAATGATAGGTGAGGAGGATGCGAGGCCACCACGGATGATGGCTCCAGCCTCTCCGAGAGGGCTGGCAGGAGGGCCGGCACTGCAGGGTGGCCCACGGAGAAGCTCAGCAGGTGTTCTTGTCCCTCCTTCCCGCTGGGAATGGCCTGGCTGCCCTTGCCCATGGAGGCACAGGCACCATCTGCTGCAGGGAGAGGGAAAGGCCAGGCCAGCTTTGATTTCCTCTTGCAGGCACCATCTGGTGACCGTGCTCTTGGTGCCAGGGAGGGCACTGTCCTGGGAAGGACAGAGGCCCAAGAGCTGCTTTCAAGTGGGGACCAAGCTGCTGCCTCTCCCCCTGCCACTCTCTGGGAATGAGTAGGAGGAGGGAGGCACACAGCAATAACACTGTTCCTCATGTCACCAAGGTGGCTTGCCTGGCCCATCTTTTGGTCTAGGTGCAGAATCCCACAAAAAATACCAGTGTCCTGGTGAAAGTAGAGCCCAGACCAGATTTCCAGGTGGGCTGTGCTGCCCACAGCTGCCTGCCTGCCAGAGCATGGCGTGCCCAGGACAGCAAAGCATCTTTCTTTGTGCAAGTGGGTGCACACAGGAGGGGTCTCTGAAAGGCTGGGCAGCCCGCAGAAGCAAACTCTGTAAAAGGCTCTCTCCTGCCTTCTCCTGTCTCCAGCTCATCTTGGCCTCGGGCTCTGGAGCTGAGTCTGGCAATGGACAGGCGATGTTTCCCTTCACCAGGGAGATCAAAGGGGCAATCAAGACTTAAAATGCAAGCTCTGATTACATTCCTTTTTACTGCAATACCATTTGAGAGGGCTGACACCAGTGGAATAGAAGAAAATCTGGTTCAGCAGTCCCTTGTCCTGGAGCTAAGGCCAATTCCCCATGAGCCACCGCACTGTGGGCCTGGGCCACAGAGAAGCTGCGGTGACTTGTTGGTGCTGAGGCAGCAAGATGCAGCCGCTGCCCTGAGCCCAGCAGTAGTCACTGGTCCAGCCCCAGTGCAGAGTGCGGGGAGAGGGGAGGTATTTTCCAGGCTGCTCTCCTAGGAGAAGCTTCTCCGAGGATGCTCATACTCTTCCATCTGCTGCTTCTTTCCTGCCTCACCCCTCCGCTCCACCCTCCACTCCACCCCTCACTGCAAAGTTTGACGTCACTTTTCTATGGAGAGCAGAGCGAGAAGGAGAAGTCCCCATCGGAGAGCAGCCCCCTGGATGCTGACAACAAGGATGTGGTAAGTGCTGGTGGCTGGTGGCTGTGGCAGCGGGAGCCCAGGCTGGGCTCGTCCTGGCCCAGCCCGCCCTGCGCTTCACCAGAAGCCCAGGTCAGAAGTTAAATGGGAGAAATTAACCCCTCCAGTGCAGGGTTTCCTGCTTAACACCCTTTAGCAGCTGGATGTTCCTGGGAAAGCTGGAGGGTTTCTTTGTCCTGGCTTGTTCTGAGGCATCTACCTTGAGCAGCAGCTTGGAGGAGATGCTCCTGCCAGGGTGAGCATCTCCCAGCTGCATGGCCTTCCCTGCCAGCTGCGGGGACCTAGTCGGATACATGGCCAGAGCCTCGCTGCACACCTTTCTGGTCCCGGCAGGACAGAGTCCCCTGGATTGCACCTCCACCTCTGCTGGCGTGGTGGGTTGCGGGGGTTTTAAAGTCATCTTTTGTTTCTCTCTACCACACCAGGCACAAAGTAGGCTTCGCTGGAAACAAGCACAGATGGACATGTTTTGCTATCTCTTTCTGGGTTTTGGCAGCAAAAGCTCAAAAATCAGTCCCTGGTGTGACTATGAAAAAATGACATGACTTATTAAAAAAAAAACTAGGCAGGAAAGGTAAAGAATCAAAATCCTTGCAGGTGGCAGGAGGCCTGTTTAAAGGCTCAGTAGCGGATGCTCTGGGCAAATGTATATTGCTCATCAAAAAATAAGTGAGAAAGACCACAGGGAAAGCCAGCACAGCTAAAGAGCAGATTAAGGGAGATTATTAGAAGTAAGAAGACATCCTTTTAAAAGTCAAGCTGTTCCCAAATGAGGAAAATCTAAACTCTGCAAGGTTAGATGTAAAATACACTAAGGCAGGGAGAAGAGTGCTTTTAAGGAGAAATTTGTAGTGAGCATAAAAGCAAGTACTGGATTTTTCTTCACACATCAGAAGCAGGAAACCTGCCAGAGGGTTTGTAGGACTGATAGATGTTGAAGATAGAAAACGCTTGCTGGAGAAGGCGAGAATGTGGCAGGAGAGCTAAATAAAGTTTTGGTGCCTGTATCCAGTGAGGAGGAGCTTGACCAAATTCCTGCCCAGGAGCCCTTCTCTGTGGGGAAGCACCAGAGCATCCCTCCAGCAGCGGGGCTGGAGGATGAGTTTGCAATAAAAGCAGCCTGACAAATTCCCGTTACTATCACAAATTCCCAGGAGCAGGCACGGGATTTCTCACACCCTGAGACGAATAGCCAAGCTATTGACTGCAATGTGCAACCTCTCTCCTGCACATGGGGATCCTAGAGAGTTGGAAATCAGCTGATAAATGCTGTTTTTTCCAAAGGGTTTCTGGAAAACCCAAGAAATTACAGCCCAGGGAGCTTGGGGTCTGCACGGACAACCTCCTAGACATGGTTCTCCAGAGCAGAGCCCCACCACGGGGCACAGGAGAGAAATCAGCCCAGCTGTGCTAAGGGGGTGTCCAGCCCCCGCGGAGCTGTTGCAGGGGCACAGCGATGTCCGTGCCTCCAAAGCCTCCTGCTGCGGTCGCCAGATGAAGCTGAGCTGTGGCATAGGAGCGAAGGTCCTGGCATGGCTAAAGCCGGGTGATGTAGAGGAGGAAGAATCTGCCAGCTCTCACGGGGG